TTCCGTCTTGGGGTGTTTGTATAGTTTGTCTTGTTTTTTTTCCCTCTTCTTTTCACTAGTGTTTTGAAACCTTTTATGTTTTTGAGTCTCATATCCCTTGTCATGTATTTTTGTTTGTTTGTGTGAGGTGTCGGCCCACACGGAGGTGTGGGGGGTGAGAGGACTCACCAGGGACAGAGTGGGGAACGGAACAGGTGGATCCACTGAAACACTGCTGAGGGGAGCGGGCGAGGCAGGAGAGGTCTGCTGCGCCCTGTGGGCCAGCTCCCTGGCCGGGGATCAACTTGTGCTTTGGTGGCTGTGGACAGCTTGATAGCACTAAGATTTTTAACCCCTGTGCCACCAGGGAGGCCCCTGCTTTGGATTTTTGTTGTTGTTCCTTGTTGAGGTAGTGCTGAGGCTAATGTGTGATGGTCTAGACTTGTGCCCTGCTGAACAGTCTGATCCCAAACTTGCCGCAATGATTCATGTTTTTGATCTCCTCTTCCTCTGTATTGTGTAACTTGAATGTTACTTCTAGATAACATTCCTTGTTATTCTAAAATAGCCCCCCTTTTTGAGACTTGCTTAGTGGCATTATATTCTTTGCGTTTCCATCAAGTTCTTTAACCCACCTTCGGTTGTGAATAATAGTCTGGCTGGATAAAGTTTTCTTCCTTGGTGTTAAATATTAAGTTTGCAGGCTTTAAGTTTCCCTTCCTCCCTGCAAGGTCTCCAGTCGTCTGTGGAGTCTTTTCCTTCTATGCAACTTTCTCTCTGCATGCTTTTAATATTTTTTTTCCTATCACGAGTTTTTAGCAATTTAAATATGAGATGCTTTGGGGTCTGTCTAATTGGATTTCCTTCTTTGGAACTTTTGGATAAGGGTATGCCAGGGAGCCTCTCATCTACTGCTTCCTTAAATACCTGTTCTGTGGCTTCTCCCTCTTGTCTCCTGGCTCCAGTGATTCAGATAGTGTTTCTCTGTCAGCTGTCCCAGAGTGTGCTTGCACTGTTCCTTCTTTCTGATTCTGACTTCCCTTTGCTGGTTTGTGAGTGTTCTTCCCTGTTGTGCATCCAGGCTCAGTGATTCCGTCAGCTCCTTGGCTTGTCAGCTCATCGGGACTTGGGTTATGCTTTTGAGTTCAGTGACGGAGTTTGCTAGCCCTTCATTCCAGGGACGCATTCTCGTGTTCTCTCAGGCCTTGTGTTCCTCCTTCTGTCCTTCAGTTGTATTTTCTTGTTTCCATAAATACAGTCACGACTGTTGCCGTAGCCTCTCATGGGAAATTATGGAGCTTTGCTGGACAGAGGTTTTTTCTCAGGACTTTTCTGTCCCGTCCTGTGTGGTAGAGCCCTGTCTTTCCCTTTTCAGATTCAGGGGTTACCTTTCTTGTCCTACTGCGTTGGCCTCAGATTAAGTTTGTAGGTTGCATGGCATCATCTTAGGTTGTTCACGGGACCCCTGGATGTCTGTGGCTTGATGAATTGGCCGTCTGGACCTGTTTGGATGACAGATGTCTAGTGCCGGCTGGCGGCAGGATCCGGTAACCAGGGCCCCCGAGAGGTCCGGACAAGGGAGTTCCAAGTCTAGAGGCTTCCTGAGGCGCCGTGGAGACTGGGGGTGGGGCGGGGTGGGAATCTAAGCGCCCCCCACCCCCGGGCCAGCTCCTCAGTCCCAGAGTCCTGAATAAGCTCGGACTAGCATCGGCCTCTCCACGCTGATACACTCTGGTGTTTGGGCTCTGTCACAGGCCCCCCGCGCCCTGGGGCGACGGAGGGGCAGAGGCTTCTAGAACAGCTGTCCAGGTCCTGACTACAGGCAGGTGGGGCTGGGCGGGTGCGTGGTCCCGTCCACGCGACGGCCGCGCCCCTCCACCCCCTTTCAGCGGTTGCAGCACCCGGGGAGGGCACAGTGCGGGGTGGGGGTCAGCTGGGGAAGAGTTGGCAGTTGCCTTTGCCCTGCCGCGCCTGTTCATCAGCCACGGCCCGGATGCTTGACGCGCCGGCTAGTGGTGGGTGTCTCGGCCTTGGCCCAGCTGGAGGACAGGCGGGTGCCACGCTGCTCCCAGCTGGAGCTTGCTGGGGGCCCCGGTCCACCTGTGCTCTAGCACCCCGCTGGGCGCGGGAGCTGTTTCACCCTGGGCCCCGGCTGGCTGGCCGCTCTCTGGCAGCTCGGCCTCTGCTTTGCGGCCCCCCCCCAGCCTTCTTCCACGGTCCCAGGCAGGGTGTCCCCCAGCTCCTGAGGCGCTCGGAGGCGCGCCCCGCCCCGGCGCCGTCCCACGGTGGCTGCTTTGCTGACATGCTGAGCACTTACGCTCTGGCTTCTTTCCTGCCCTGCTGCGGCCCTACTTCTGCGCACACGCGGGTGTCCCGTCCTCCCAGGGTGTCCCGTCTCCCCGGGGAGCCGTGTGCTTGCTCCTTTGGGGCTGTGGGCGTGGGGGGCGGCCAGCTGGGCTTCGGCACACCCCTCCGGCTTGCTGGGCTCGGGATTGCTCTTCACTACTCCTGTGTGATAAATTCGTTCCTTCCACTTGCTCTGCGATTCACTTGCTGGGGTCCCCCCTCCAGCTTTTAAGGTCTTTTCCCCGCACATCAACTGAATGTTGCATGTTTTTTCTCTGACACCACTTCAGCTCCATCTCATTTGGATATGCTGCGTTTTCATTATCGCTCATTTCAAAATATTTTCCTTGTGATTTCTTCATTGACTCACAGGTTATTTAGTACTGTGTTGCTTAATTTTCAAATATTTGTGGGTTTTCCCAGTGTCTTTATATTAATGATTGTGGATTTGGCTCTGGTGTGGTAAGGAGGCATACTCTGTCTCGCTCAGCCCTCGGGAGCAGTGGGGAGGGTCTCGGGGCCCTGAACTCGGTCTGGTTGGGGGACATCCCTGCGCCTGAAGCACTCGGCTGCCATGAGCGGAGAGCCCCGTCAGGTCAGGCTCGTGCTCGGCCGCGCCTTGTCCTGGCCTCCTCGTTCCGTCGGCCACGGCCTCCATGTTTGCGACTTTGCCACTTTCCCCTTCAATCCCGGCGGCCTTGGCTCAGAATTGTGTGTCACGTTGTGTGGCCGTCACCGAAGCCCACTGTGCGTGGCAGTGGCCGCGGTCTGTCTGGTCTGCCCGGCACCCAGCCTGACCACACTGTCCCCTGCGAATGAAGGGCCCCAGACTCCAGGGCCTGGGCCCTGTTTTCACCTCCTTTGCTTCCCACCCACCCCAAATGCTGCCATGTCACCATTTCTGAAATCTTGACACCTGCCTGCTGCAGCCACCAGCCCAGCTGTTTCCCCTTGGCATCTAAAGAGACGCCCCCACCCCTCCGCAGGAGCCGCCATTCTGCCCCGGGGCCCCAACGCTCAGGACAGCCTAGTCGGCACGCTCCCGGGCATCAGTGTCACTGGCGCTGACAGCTGTCTCCTGACGGCTTTGCCTTAGTAGAGGACTATGGGAGGAAATCTGCAGCCCTGGGTTTCCAAAGCAAAATCTTCCTGTAATTTGCCACCCCTGGCTTTGAAGGTAGGGTTCACGTTGTTCCTGGGTGACCTGGCGCCCTGTGGGGCCAGGCCCCTGACCATTGAGCCCAGCGTGGACTCCGGCCTCACCGAGGACCCTGCACACATAGGGTGGGTGGGGAGTTTAGGACATATGTGCCAGTGGGGATGTGCCACCTCCCTGTCCCCGTTTCTGCCCCTGTGACTTCACACAGCACAGTGCCTGGGCTCGGGGCACCCACCTCGGCAAGGGTAGGGTAGAGCCCGAGGAGCCGCCCACTGTGACCCCTCAGCTGAGTCCCCGGGAAGGGAACACACTGCGAGGGGTGCGGCGGGCCCGGGCCAGGCCCTCGGCTGCTCTGGGCCCAGCGTGCCCTGGACAGGCAGGCGCAGTCCCAGTGGTGAGCGGCCAGGCGTGGCGCCCTCACAGGCCCAGGGCCGCCTCTGTTCTTGCCATGGAACTCGGAGGTTCCGGTGGATCAGAAAAGCCAGGGAGGAAGACAGGCGGGGAGGAGGGCGCAGCTAGGGGTGTCAGCACCGGGCCTCAGTGGGCCTGCAGGGGAGGTGGAGAGAGAGACGGCTGAGAAGGCCGGGCGCCAGGAGCCAAGGGGGTGGGTGACCGCCGCGGGCAGTCAGGCCCTAGCTCACAGACAGCGGGGCGAAGAGGGGGCGCATCCGGCCCGCCCTCCTCTCGCACGGCGCAGCCCCCCGCTCTGAGTGCCTTGAGTACCCCTTGCGCCTCCACATCCCACCAGCAGGCCCACGCCAGCCCCACACACGCCGCCTGCCTGCGTTCAGAACTGCGGCAGCGGTGAGGGTGGGGGAGAGCCGGGGGGCCTCGGACCGCTCCGGGGAAGGAAGGGCCGGGCCGGCTCAGCCTTCTGGTGCCCGCCCGCCCCAGGCGCCGCAGGCTGCGTGGCAGGCAGACCCGGGAGCCGCCGGGAGGCCAGAGCAGGCACATGTCCCGTCTGGCTCAGCCGACAGCCTGAATGAGATGTGTGTGGTGATTTATGAAATCAAATATTTGGATTTCTCAAGTGAAATCTTCCTCCCATTTGCCAGTCTCGGCGGTCCGGAGGGTTCGCGGTGTCCGTCCCTGGGTGACCCGAGGACCTGTAGGGCCCCCGGCCGCAGTGCCTGTGCCGTGGGGCTTCTGTGGCTCCCCAAGACGGGCTTGTGGCAGGGCCGAGCCCGGCCGGAGCGTGGCCTCGGGGAGGAAGGAGAGGGGGCGCCTGCGGGGCCGCGGCCCCTTCCCCGGACCCACTGGGCCACGGCTCAGTTGGACGCGGGAGCTGCGCACTGCCCTAATCTCAGCTGCCGGCTCGGGTTTTCAGAACCTGGTGGGCGCGGGCCCGCGGTGGGTCCCACGTCCGAGATGAGGCGCCGTGAGGCGCCTGGCCCTCACGTCTGGTCCCTGTGCTCGCTGGCTGTGTGGCTTGGGGCAGGGCCTCGGGCTCGGAGCCCTGGGGCCTGCCGAGGGGCCGCGGCCGCACACAGCGTCGCTCTTGCCGTTACTCCTGCAGTGGAGCGGAGGCGGAGGGACAAGATCAACAACTGGATCGTCCAGCTTTCGAAAATCATTCCAGATTGTAATGCAGACAATAGCAAGACGGGAGCGGTGAGTGCCCCTGCCTGCCCCGCGGGCCCCTCCGGGGACCCAGGCCCGCGGCACCTTCCGGGACGTCAGGCTGACCGCTGGGCGGGGGCTGAGTGCTGGGCCGGCCGGCAGGCAGGGCTCTCGCTGATGGGCCCTGGCCCCCCGCAGAGCAAAGGCGGGATCCTGTCCAAGGCCTGCGACTACATCCGGGAGCTGCGCCAGACGAACCAGCGCATGCAGGAGACCTTCAAGGAGGCCGAGCGCCTGCAGATGGACAACGAACTCCTGAGGCAACAGGTGCGTGCCGGGCCGGGGCGGGGGGCCTGGGGCCCGGGCCCCGGGGTGCGGGGAGGCAGCCCCTGGCTCCCCTGGCTCCTGGTCCCCGTCGTGTCTGCAGATCGAGGAGCTGAAGAACGAGAACGCCGTGCTCCGCGCCCAGCTGCAGCAGCACAACCTGGAGATGGTGGGCGAGAGCGCCCGGCAGTGACG